TAAATATTATTCAACAAGGGAGTTTTGCTTTATTTTCCCTACCCTCTTGCCCCACAAGATTAGTGTAATATTGCACATATAGTAAGAGTTTAATAAGTATTTCATGACTGACTATGCATTTGACCATATAAATTCAATGACTAAAAATCCTAAAATTATTTGCCCTTCAACTTCTTTAATAAGGGTGTTTCATTCAGGTCCATTCTGGCCATACATTGTTTCTGACTTATTACTCTCATCCCTGACCACTCCTTACTTGATAGAAACTTTGTTCCATACTCCCAACACTAATACCACTCCTATACCAGCTCCAATAACTAAGTCAAGCCTTCCAGTACCACTTTTCCTTTCTTCCAAGATCCAGTTTACTCCATGGAAGCCACCCTAATTAAAGAGATAAAAGTATCAAATCTCATGTTATCCATATCAGGTACAGAAGAGATCACAGGGAGGTATTTTTCTCCTTGATCTTAGCTCATTAGCATAAATTTAGAAGATGAGATTTCACTAACATCTTGTTATCTTTTAACTTCTAATCTGGTACTCTAGCAATCCAAGTTATAGGTACAATGTGAATATCCTCAGAGCAACATTACTTCTAATCACTATTTTAAAATAAAACATTTTGTCTCCTTTTTAAGAATTTGAAACATGATATTTCATTTTATTTTTAATTATATAACAATCAATTTCACAGGGAAAGTTATTTTACTTACACTTGGAAGTTGTTTGAAATACTCTTTCTAGCTTTGGGTAGAAATGCAAACTCACATAACCTCTATTTCTGCCTTAAGATCTTCCTCAATCATATGACTAGAAATTCTAAAACCAAAGAATTTTTAGTGAAAACAAACTACTACTCTCTCATCAACAATCATAAAACTCCATAATTCTATAAACCTACAAGCTAAAGCCTCATGTAAAACCATTCATGGCATTGGATGTTCAAGTTGATCCAAAATGTATCTATAAGTACTCACTATGTGCCAGCAGGCCTTCACATCCTCCTTACCCCTAGGGTCTACATTTTCGTAGTTGATTAAGATATTTTGATAACTCTGCAATTTTCCTTGAAACACCAGATCATTGAGAAGTTGCTTTGTTGTAGTCATTCTCCAAATGTACTGATTGAAAAATAACCCAATTTGGATTCAGAATTAAACATAACTTCTCATCAAATTGGTCACCCTATTCCTTATTCCTTTCTTCCCTGATATGAAGATCCAGGCTGGGGGAGCCTAATGCCAACAACTGCCTAACACAGCTCACATTTTCCTGTAGCAACAACAGCAAAAGTCAGAGAAAAGCAAAGGGGAGAGTTTAATGCCCCCTCCCAAATAAAAACCATGTATATTCTGAGGACATAATTTTTGAGGCAAAAAGAAATAGCTATATAGAAGCTCTTGGGTGTTCTCTTCCTGAGAGAGTTTTTCTCCCACCCATCCTATTAAAAATTAGTTTTGATACATGTGTCCTCCACTGGGCATGTCTGCCATTCAATAGACTTTGTCAAGATATTAGCCAATTCCCTGCCATAAAGAATGACACGTTTAAGTAAAGCAAACCTATTTTTAATTGAGTAGATTTTCTAAATGACCTTATTTAGTCTTAGATGTAGAGAATGCCATTGCTGAAGGACCTCATGGGCATTCTGTGAAGATGACAAGTTACACTTGATCAATCAGCTACAGTGCTTAAAATTAGATGCTAATGCAAAAAAAAAAAATTAGATGCTAATGCAACCTCAGAGCCATTTTTTTTCTGTTTACCTATGTAGAGTTGATATTTGGGCTTGCCCAGTGTGAATAGGTATTACCTAGAAACATAACCTGTGCTACAGCTTTTAAAAACTGTATATTACCAGAAACTAGGAGGTTCATTTCAATATGTGCCCAAGCTAAATTAAAAAAAAAAAGTTAAGTCTTTTATTTTTTTTCCTTGATTGACAAGTACAGAAAAAGAAGCTTCTATCCCTTGGTCTTGTGTCTTGTGCATTAAAGAACCTTTGGCATTAGTTGAAGAGATATTAGTGAAAGACATCCCTGTCTATAATGAATGGCACAAAAATCATTATAATTGGCTTCACATCTCACACTAAATAGTTATTAATATTAATGAGTGAAAGGCACAATCATTCATTTTTCACTTGGGAAAAGGGAAGTAGGGGGAAAAATGAAAGTTCTGAGTTCCATTGGTGATTCCAAGAAGAACAAATATGCAAGTTTAAATCTGGATCTCTTTAATTGGCAAAGGCCAAAGGACCTCACAGATTGCGTGAAACAAAATTTTGTACTACAGATTTGTCAAAGCAATCTTTAATGTTCTTTAAAAAATAAGGTCAAATAGGACCATCATAATGAGAGTGCAAATAATTCTATTTTTTTACATAAAATAATAATATTATCATGAGTGTAGGGGCTGGGAAGGATGTTATGAGGTACTTAAATAGAAAGAAAGAGTGAAAAGAACTGCTCCAAAGTACTCCCATTCTCATCACCTATGGGTAACTTAGGACGTCTTTTATTTATCCCATGCTTGATTTTTGTTTTTGTATTTTGAAATAAAAAAACAAAACACCATACACAGACATGCACAAACCAACAACATAAACCCATTAGTCTTTCCTGCCTACTCCATATGCACCACAAATAAAAGCAAGAAGGCTTTTATTTTATGAGAGAAAGACTAACTGCATTCCAACCATCTCCACTGCCCAGATCTGTAGGAAAAGTTTTGTTCCAAAATTATAATTTCTATTGTCCTATGAGGTAGCTGAGGGTAAACATATGGGGAAACAGAGACTGAAATTATTCAAATGCATTCACTCAAAGGGGAATAGCTTTTTGGGTAATGTTTCTTCAATAAAGTTCACTGCAAATGTGGCATCACTTGGCCACATTAAGAAGACACAACTAAGAACCTCTCAAAAGCCACAAATGGCCTCACACTTGCTAATAAAGAATAAAGGAGCAAAGCATAAAAAGGTTAATATTTAAAGGGCACCTGTGTGTCAATGAGAACTTCCTCTATGTATACACATTGTTAACAATCTTTGTCCTTATAAATATAATAAGCAAACCAAGGAAAGAAAACTGAATACATACACACAGAGCAACTTGTTTTTGTTTCTTAGTTTGGATTTTACATGAAATAAACTTCCATAATATAGATGTCTTTTTTTGTAATTATCTGTTTTTTTTTAATATAATTTATTAAATTGGTTTCCATACAACACCCAGGGTTCATCCAAACAAGTGCCCTCCTCCCTGCCCATCACACGCTTTCCACTCTCCCCCACCCCCCACCTACCCTTAGTTTGTTCTCAGTCCTTAAGAGTCTCTTCTGGTTTGCCTCCCTCCCTCTCTGTAACTTATTTTTTGCCCTTCCCCTCCCCCATGGTCTTCTGTTAAGATTCTCAAGATCCACATATGAGTAAAAACATATGGTATCAGTCTTTTTCTGCCTGGCTTATTTCACTTAGCATAATACCCTCCAGTCCCATCCACGTTGCTGCAAATGGCCAGATTTCATTCTTTCTCCAAAGGCAAGGGAATTGAAAGCAAAAATGAACTATTGGGACCTCATCAATATAGATGTCTTTTTAAACTCTCAATTCCTTTTCTTTGCTTTCAGACTCTGCTACATTAGGACACAGCAAAGTGAAGAACATGGAATCTGGTCCAAGAGGTTACTTTTGCTAGTAAGTAATATCTCCGAGTATTTTATTTTAGCAAAAATCAATCTGAACAAAGACTGAAAGTGAAAATGTGACTTCAAGATTAAGGCAAGGTAAGGCAGCCACATAAAATATACCAAGTTAGAGATATTATAGGTAAAATATTAAACACAGCTGAAAAAGATTCACAATATGCAAAAATGTGTTAAATACACAAGTCTTAAGGGGAGAAAAAGCTAATATATTGCCCTGCCCTTATCATTACAGAATCCTTTGGACTTCAGTAGTGGTGCTCTATTTTACAACCTGTGACACATTTATGTTAAACTTATTAATGTGATATCAATTGAAGACCAATACTGTTCTTTAGTTATTTCAATTAGCAAGTATTCCTGCCTCAGAAAACAAACATTAACCAAATTCCAAGCACTAGCCAGCATTTATTGCTTTGAAAAATAGGCATGCACTTTATTTTCTGGGTTTTATACTTAATGAGAAAGTAAAGAACATACATTTAATTCTAGGAAATAACTGAATTAGAAGCCAACAGAAAGCCCCTTCACAGTCTTTTGTTTCCATGTAATAATACATTCTTCAATGTCTTACTGGGATGATTGTAGACAGAAAATCAATTCTTAAAATCTCATGCATGGTTTGTAATTATAGCTAGACTATATAATAAAAACTGAAAGACATATATATTTAAGTGTTTTTAAACAATGTTTAAGCTCTGATTGGGACATCTACCGATGACAGCTGATCTTTCAGTACAAGCATGGCTGCCTGCCAGACCACCATGTTCTATGAATAGATATTTCTTCTCAAGAAATTACTCTTCAGGCAATTAGCTAATATTTCTTAACTTGGAGGCTTTAAACTTCTGCCTGTTAGAGATTCAGTAAAAATGTGAAAATGTAACAAAAAATAAAGCTACATGTCAAAAGAATTCATTTAAACAGTAGTGCTGCACACTCAATTAAGAGGCAAAGGATATTTATATATTTTTAAGTTTCCTGTATTTTCATTTACAAATGTTTGCTCCCAGGTGTACAGTCACTAGCAAATGTAACCAACCCCAAGTAGGCCCTTAACATTTCATTGTCCACTGAGAGTACATTGCCACTGAAGTTGAACAAAATTCCACTAGTTCCCCAACATTTTCTCAGTGGTAGGCTAAAATCTCATTCTTATCTTGGCTACCTTCCAACATAGCTGGAGTTCAAGCATTTCTGTTTCAAGATATTCATAGTTAAAGGCACAGATGCTTTCTGGATGTCACAAAAACTACACATTTTTGATCAAATATAATTTGCAAGCAACTTACCAGAATTTCTCTTTGATACCATCCTCAAATTTGTGCTGACTACAGAAGAGACCACAAGGGCCAAAAGAAATGGTGGCTTCATTGTTCACTTTCTTCAGTAGCTGAAAAGTCAAAAAATAATATGAAATTGAATCACAGATCTTGGCATCAACAAACTAGCAGCTAAAATTTCACATATCTCAAGGACACATTACAGAAACAATGACATTCTAGTGACCTTTGTTTTTATTTTTATTCAAATGGAATAAAACATGAATGCACACAGTTGAATCATGCCAAAGTTCCCTGCTTAAAACTTTTCAATGGCTTCCCATTGGATTTGGAGTAAAATCTGAACTCCTTCCATTAGGCCATTAAGGGCGTAAAGGTGGGGCCCTGGCTACCTCTTTGATCTTATATGACAACACTCTCCTCCTTGTTGGTTATGCTCCAGCCACTATGAATATTTTATCTGTCCCTGGAATGTGTCAAGGTCATTTGCTTCTTGTAGTCTTTACAGTTTGTCTTCCTCCTAGTATACTTCACCCCACTCTTCACACAGTTGGTTCCTTAACATTCTATTGTCTTCAGTCACACAAAAACACTTTTTCCAACTACCTAAAGTCTCACTCTGTCATTCTCTGACTCACCTCCCTGCTGTTTTATTCATAAGACTGATCAGCACTTATAATTATTTTGTTTATTTATATCACAAGGGTTTTTACTCAACTTTGACAATATTTTAAAATTAACAATACTGAACTTTAAACAATTGTAATGAAACTGTTCCAAAGAGAAAAATAAGTGTAAAAAGTTTCAAATAGGATCGAGATCCTCTAACAATCATAATATAAGCACCACAGAGGTATACTGGGTTTATCATAAACCCAAGACATAAATATGGCAAAGGGGACAATAAGAATGAAAGCACAGTGATCCCTAAAATAATGAGTGGAAGCAAATCTGAGTGGAAAAGCAAGAACATCCTCTGGATGTCATTTTAAAGATCCAGAATTCCATGTAAAGATTTGTTTCTTGAATAATTGGTTTGTACCTAAAGGTGCAGAACCTTACCCAGAATTTGAGAGTAACAGGATGATATCAAGCATCGAGTATTCCCAGAATTTACCTCAGAATTTATATCCACCTGATATCCTAAATTCAGAAAACTTGCAGAGTTTGGGGTCTGAGGCCACCTGTTCACTATCCAATGCAGCTAGTTCTTTATCATCCCATCTTCTCTCCATCAATAAACAAAGAAGACTGAGAAAGAGGAGAAGGTCACCTTTTGATAACAAAGACAGGTTTTCCTTTCCCAGATGACATGCTGGACTTCTCCCATACTACTGGAACAGTGACAAAGAACTTTGAGGAAGGATGGTGTGTTGGAAATTTCAGATGACAAGAGGCCAGTACTAATCTCTACCAATCCCTATCACATACTAAATTTCTGGTCCCAAGACGCTTGGAATGGATTTGGCACATTACCAAAGATTCAAATTGGACTGGGTAGATGATTCTTGTCAGAGGCTTTACAGCATGGGATAAGATGAGTACACTTGAGAGAAAAGTGATATCATGTCACTAGTTGAAGTTCTGAGGGAAGATTTAATCAAATTTTGAAAGAGACTTCATTGCCAAGAGGAAATGCTGGGGGATCATCTCATCATCAGGCCTGTCACAACAACTAACTATTTATACAGAACCTATAGATGGCTAGAAGGGCAATCATGGTCAACCAAGGAAAAGACACACGCAATCAAAAGCATATTTTTTCCTTCTCCCTCTTCCCTAGTCATTTGTCTCCCTATGCAACACCAATGGAGAAGGCACATGGCTGATGTGTGAAAATCTACCACACACCCTCCAAATTCCTAGCCACTGGAATGTCTCATCTGTTTAAAGAAAAAGGAAGAGACACTATTTGAATCAGATAGGAGCTTAAAACAGTCTTTAAAATCAGAATGAAACTCTGAAAACAGCTGAAAAGTTATATAATCAGACTGACATGATTATCATTGTCACCATCTCCCCATGGAAAAAACAAAGTACAGTACAGTACAACAAATAGAAATCATTGGGAAAAACAATACTATTTCAGAGTTATACTTCACTGAGTTAAAACTCTTAATGAATCAGTTGCATTTATTAGCTTGGTTGTTTCTGCCCACACCTTGACCACTAGAATATTATATTCACGAAGATAGTCACCTAGTCATTATCCATTTTCAATGGATAAAAGAAGATCATGTAGATATCATATCAAGGGTCTCATTAATACAAATAAATGGCAGCTTTCATGTTTTTTTTTTCAAGTTACCCATTTGTTTGAAATAGAATATCTATTAACAAATATATGATTATTCAAATCCAAGATATGTGGTTTCCCCTGCTATAGTTGACACTGTTGTTACCCTACCCATATCCTCTTGGCCTACCCCAAAAGTCATTTGCAGAAGACTTCCTATGTTTCTCTACCAGGGGGTGCTTTTCTATCTACAAAGTAAGTTGAACAGCAGGGGAGGCAGTCTGGAAGTTCCAAGTTGCTAACACCCCATGAGTTACTTTCAGTAATGGGAGTTAGTGAATAAACACTGCAACTCCCTCACGTGTTGGTATATTCCAGTAAAACTGAGTGGCAAACTGCTCATTAACACACTCTTTACTTACTTTTTCTCCCTTCCAGTCTGAATTTCTCATTCCCTTGCAGTACTTTCTGGAATCACTTCCCAAATAAATTACCTATATCTAAATCCTTGTCTCTGGGTCTGCTTTTGGGAGACCCCAAACCAATACTGAAAAGACCATCATGAATTCCACAAAATCCTTTGTTTTACATAAAATTTATTTGCACAGTTTCTAGCTAAGTTTACATAGGCTCTGGACATTCAAAAGGTGGCTTATTATTCAAATTTTCCTAAACCACAGGCACATTCTAGCCCTTCTGTCCTGTCTCCCGGTTTAGAATATATGTTATTCCCAGTGACTTCAATAAGAACATTGGTTCATCTCTGATTTAAGTATTTCTGCTGTATTCACTCAGTTATCAACCCAACCTTGCCAGTGAGATATTAGAAGTCTGTCATGTTCTCCTTTACCTACAATTCATCCTGTCCATGATTGTACATTTCCTATTTCTGACTCTCAGTCATACAAACATCAGGGTAAACAACAGATTCACTTCCCATCCAACAATTTTGTTTTTCACTAAAGTACATGATCTATTCAATACTTTGTTATAAAATAGGCTTTGTTTTAGATGATTTTGCCCAACTGTAGGCCAATGTAAGTGTTTTGGGAAAGTTTAAGGTAGGCTATGCTAAGCTATGATGTTTGATAGGTTAGGTGTATTAAATGCACTTTCAACTTATGATATTTTCAACTTCTAATAGGTTGATATGTAATCCCACTGTAAGTCAAGGAAAATCTGTATTTTATTAAAATAGTAATTATAATGTATTGAGTGAGCATTTTTGTGTGCCAAGCATTTCACTAAATTGCTATATGATATTTTATTCTATTAATGACCTTAGGGGTGTTATTATCCCATTTTACTATTCACAAAAGTGATACTTGTGACTTACACAAGGTCACATCAATAGTAAATTAAGGGAAAAAATGAATTTAGGTCCATATGACTACAAATTCCAAGCTCTTAACCACTACTAAGCTATTTTTGCCCTAGGAGTTAGATGTTATGGAAGTCATAAACTAAGTCTAAGATTATAAAACATCGTTCCTTGCCTTCAGGAAGCTATAATCTAACTGTGGAGGTCCATGCATACATGAGAGTTTAGTCAAGTGCAAGAGAGTGAAGAATGACCTGTATATGTTAAAAGCTAAGGGTGGGCGCCTGGGTGGCGCAGTCGGTTAAGCGTCTGACTTCAGCCAGGTCACAATCTCGCGGTCCATGAGTTCGAGCCCCGTGTCAGGCTCTGGGCTGATGGCTCAGAGCCTGGAGCCTGTTTCCGGTTCTGTGTCTCCCTCTCTCTCTGCCCCTCCCCCGTTCATGCTCTGTCTCTCTCTGTCCCAAAAATAAAATAAAAAAACGTTGAAAAAAAAATTTAAAAAAATTTTTAAAAAAAGCTAAGGGAATATAGAGTAAGACAAGTATTTTGTAGCATGTTCAATAGGTGATGCAGATTTCCCATTGAAAGGGAAAATCTGCCAAACTGCCAATTCAGTCAAAAAGAAAGGCCAGTGTAATCAATCTCCTAGCTGTGTTCATCTGCAACAGAAATCGGCCGTAAATATCATCACTGATCAAGGAATGTCTCAGAACTGTGACCACTAGGCTCCCAGCATACAGTCCCACACATCTGTTTAAATACTAAAAGTGTCAGAAACATCTCAGGTTATCCCATGGAAATCTTACACTGAAATTTAGGTTTATTACATTGTAACTTTTCTTTTCCTCTTGGTGATTTTACAACCAACTTACTGTTGTGTGGAGAAAATGTATAGGAGAAAGTATAATACTTTATATGATGGCAGCTATGCTGCTATTCAATTATTTCAAAATTACATTTTTTTCACAGAATTCTTCCCCCTACCATGCATATAAATATACAAGGGTTCTTACACCTGAAGTTCATATTCCCGAGGGCTTTGTGTTTACTGATTTCCTAAGGGTAGGATATAAAAATCCCAAAAGACCACACAAGGATTCTAAAGACTGAAGATGCTGGCACAATGGCTAATGAAGGCATTAATTTTCCTTTCCTTGAATTACCAATCCTGATATGAGTAGGGCCATATTTTCAAGACAGTTTTTAAAAATGTAATTGAACTAAATCATTTGACAGATAATTGTAATGATAATGTTATGCTCAAGTGGTTTTCAAGTTTGTAAATTACCTTCTCCACTTACTCTTTTCCTCCTTAAAGTACCAGTATACCAGGTTCCTGTTTCATGTTAATTCTTAAAAGTATCTGTATGGCATACTTTTTTTTTTTTAATTTTTTTTTCCAACGTTTATTTATTTTTGGGACAGAGAGAGACAGAGCATGAACAGGGGAGGGGCAGAGAGAGAGGGAGACACAGAATCGGAAACAGGCTCCAGGCTCTGAGCCATCAGCCCAGAGCCTGACGCGGGGCTCGAACTCACGGACCGTGAGATTG